AGTTGGTTTGCTGGTGTGCTGCATGCTGTTGAGGCACCATTTTGTTGGAACCTGCTTGTTCTTCGTAGGACCAGTGCTCAAAGACTTGTCTCAAGGAAGCAGTGAAGCACGATGCCTTCTGACTCCCAGCTCAGGCGAACTGATCCGAACCTCAGGCTGCATGCAGCAGCCTTTTTTGTACGTTTTGTCAACTCATATCTGAATCGCCACTTGTCTAGGTCACCACATCGCGATTCTTGTTCAGCACTGCCTCAAAACAAGAGGATCACGTTTGCTTGCTAAAGCGCATTTTTGTCGGGGGCTGACTTAGCCAAAGCCATCATGTCGCACAGATGACCTTCTGCTTGACATCTCTCCTACGTTTGCTGCGGCATTCGGTCTTTTGCTGGAGCATCTCAACGACACGTCACTTCAGTATCGTCGACTTTGCCCTGACTCTGGTTGCTACGTTGGGTTGCAAGAATGGTTCCACATTGCAGATCGCCAGCTAAGGGCATCAAGTTGCAGCTTGCCTGCGGATTGCCCAAAACATGAGAGAGTTGTAGAAAGTGACATGGTCTGAAAGACTTGGCATGGTGATGTTCTGCTGGTTGAGTTAAGGCAAGCAGCATCAACTGGACAACCCATCGCTTGTCTGACTTGTCATTTAGCTGCTTCACCGCTAGGCTAGGCGTCTTCTTGTTCACAAAAGCATCGAATAAACTCCTCACATTTGTTTGCAGCAGCGTCTTTTTGCCAGGGGCTGACTTAACCAGCGCTGGTGGCCACCGTTCATCACGATGCGACGCTTCTGGCGCAAAAACCTGCCTTCGCCAAAACCGTTTCGTTTGACGCGCCTTCTTGCGTATCTGTCGTGCCAAACAAGCTCCTCTTGGTCAACAGTATTTTCAGCGCTGGCCCGAAAGAATCAAAGATTGGTCAAAAACATCTGCCGGCCTCGAGGGCTCTTGCGTTGCTTGATGAGACAGCCATGATATAAAAGTGAACTTTTGAAAGTGGAGATCAAGCCTGAAAAACAGCCACAAGAGCAGTAGACGCCAAGCGATCGTTTTTGAAAAGGGGCGATCCAAAAACAGGGCACCGCTGGTCTTGACTTTTGTCACAAGCGATCAAACAAGTGCCTTCACTTGATACTGAGCGGGAGCGCAACTGAAAACGTTTGATGATTTGATTCGTGGTCGAAGAACCCACCAGGAAACTAGCGAACTCAGTTCCTGGAAGACATCTGCAGTTGTATCACAGCAAGTATGAAACGGGGCGCGTTTTAGCTCAATAAGTAGCTACTCAGATTATTCTTCAGGTAATCCCAAGTTTTTATGGCAGAACTTGTTACACTGATTTCAAGCTGGTTCCAAGTCTTGATTGCGTGGAAATCTGCAGTGATTGAGCTGCAATCAGGAACACAACATCTCAGGTGTGTCTCCATGCTGACACTCTGAGCCGAAGAAACACTGGACGTGGAAGCGGTACATTACTTGTGACACATCTCAAGTAGGACTGCGTTGATCCATTCTTTGGCTTTCAACAGGAGCTTAAATCTTTGTGCCTCTGCTGATGGTACAAGTATCTTTGGAGTCGAGGTTGGACGAACATCTGTCACCCTGGAACAAACAGCTCATGTTGGACGCAAACGCCTCTTCCGAGGGCTCAGCACAAAATGTAAACGAAGATGCTCGGATGCTCGCGACTCATAGCGACGAACCTTGGCCTCGAAAGCCGGGGCTTGAACCAACTCTGGTTTAGTCGCGTTGAATGTAATTTTTCCGGAGAGAAGAGAAAGGTAAATGGCCTCGGTGGAAAATTGGACGTGTTCGGTTTGCTCTTGATTCGATGCGATACCCGAACCCAAATTGCCTATGCATCAAGCACATGCAAATGTCACAGCCTCCTACGATGGCCAGACACTGTACGAACACGAGCTCAACAAATCCTTTACATACATAAACTCTTCTCTCAAGAAGTCACATTTCAGGTGTCATTGTACCAACTATTCCAATAGAAAAGAACCGGAATGACAAAAAGTGCAGGTTGCACTACCATAAACAGGTATGTATGCTTGCACAGGCTCAGCAGCGCACTACCTTGTCTGTTGTCTTCGTACCGCAGTCATCCCGAGCACGGAGAGGGCCAAGTGATTGCAACGAAA